AGCATTTTCCCATACTTCATATGTTCTTTCTTTTCTTTGTTCATCTGTTTCTTGTCGTCTTGATTTTTTCAGTTTCTTGTTCAAATCATAATGTTGTTTGCACATGTACTCTGTTCCTGTCTGATAATCTTCAGTTGTTCTTTTACTGCATTCATAACAGTATCTTGTTATTTTCCCTTTGAATCTTTTATACTGTCTCAGCTTTTCCTTATTCTTTATTATTGCCTGGTTTTCTTTGATCTGTCTTCTGATTTCCTTATGACTTTTTCCTTTTCTTTCATCATCTTCCTTTCTTTTACATTCTCTGATAGGATGTCCTTTTTTCATGCAATAATAACATTCTTTAAAGTATTTATCCATAGTATGGTCTTTCACTGTATGGCGATTCAACATCTTGGATTTCTTTAAACCGTTGTATGAATCTGTCATATTCTTGCTGTACTCTTGAGGGTAATCCCTGTTTTTCTTGGTATAATATGTTGATAAGTCTTGTTGTTGATCCCATGATGTTGTATGTTCCTCGATCTTGTCTTTTTCCATACTCATATCCATATCCCATGTGATTACTCCTTCCATTTCTTGGTTGTCTTGAGTAATTCACTTGTTGTTCTCCACCATTTCTTTCTCTTCTAGGGTTGCTACCAGACCTGCTTCCATTTCTCTTCTTCTTTTTTTCTTGCTTTTTATTCTCCTTCTTTTTCTCAGCTGGTCGTTTAAGGATTTCTTTTTCTTTGATGTTAGGAAGTTCTTCTGTTGAGACTTTTTCAAATTCTTGGATAAATTCTTGTTCGATTTGTTCCTCTACTTCTTTTTCAGAGTCTTTTCCTCCAATAATTTCAAAATCTTCGTTTGTTTCTTCTTTCTGTTTCTTTTCTTTTAAGTCTTCTCTTGTTACAACCATTCTTCTTCTAAGAAAAGTGTCTTGTTTGTTTTTTTAGGTTTTTGTCTTGGATTTTGATTTCAATTCTGTTGAGTTAGTATAGTATAGCTGCTTCTTTTATAACCAATTTTTGTTCTAGCATATTCCTTCACTCTATTTTTCTAAAAGTTTCTTTTTCTTTCTTTTCGTGTTTTATTTTATGACATTCTTTTTACTGTTTTGTAAATATTTGTTTTGAATTGTTCTATTTTATTCTACTAATATTATTTTATTATTTAGCTATTCACTATATCCATCCTTGTCTTTACTTTTTATCATGCCCAAAGTTCGTCTTTTCAGTCGCTCAGACCATTCTTCTTTCGCTATTGGCAATTATCATTCTTCGTTTAGTGAGCATTTCTCAGGTCGTCAATCTGAGTTTAAAAATGAAAAATCATTTCTTTGTGCACATATTAAATTTCTTGAATCTGAAAGGAACTTTTATCATTCTGAATTCAAGTGTCTCAATAATCTTAATCATAAAAATAGAAAGCCTACATTGGTAGATGAATTTCTTTATTACCATTGTAGAAACAATATCAAAATTTGTCCTCGTGCTCGTCTCTGTACTAGAGGCACTCATTATTACAGTTCTAAAGATCTTACAACCATTCGTTCTAAAGAATTGTTTTATGATTTTTTTGTGGATCATGATCCTATTGTTTATATTACTTCTTTAGAGTCTATTTGTTCAAGTCCTTTGATTGTTTATATGGCTCCTTTAGAACCTTCCATTTATGGTTCTTCAAATCATTTAATTAATAATTATCATCAAGAGGTTATTGATCTCACAGACAAATGATTTATTTGTTTAATATTTCCATCTTATTCTTTTTCTTTCCTTTGTATTTTAATTGGTTCCTTTCTATTATCTTCTTATAATCTTAATATTAAAATTATTTTCTTGCTTATCGACAAGTTTTGATTTTCGTGTTATTTGTTTATTGTTTATAATCCACATGTATCATTTTTAGTAATATTGGATAATTCACGGGTATCACAGTTCTTCTATGTCATTCTGTTTCACATTAATTTTATTGGTCCTTGTCATTTATAAATTTACTAGGTTTTCTTCCTTTTTGTCAGAAAATGCCTAAGGATAAATCTTCCTTTAAATCTTTTAATAAATCTATTGATCCTTATACTGTTAACAAGATTCTTATTCAAAAGGTTAAAACTCTTCAAGACCAAAATAAAAATCTTTCCGACACAATCAATACACTTAATAATACTCTTACTCAACTTTTAAATCTTGTTTCTAAAGTTATTATTCCTGCAGTTGCTTCTCATACTGCTGTTCTTCAGTATTATAATTTCTACAATAAAAATTACTGTTATATCCCTCTAGAAGATACTTCACTGTCTCAAGATTCTTTTCTTGTTCCTGAAAATTCTCTTGAATTATTCAAAGATATCATTACTGAATTTAAAAGTTCTTCGGGTCCTAAAGTTTCAGAGCTTCCTAGTTTCTTTGACGAATTGGATCAAGATATCCTTGCCATTGCCAATGAGATCTCGACACAATAATTCTTCATCTTTACAAGGTTCTTTTCTGGACCATCCATCTAAATTCTTGGATATTATCAAAGTCAAAGATTTCTATAAATAATATTTCTTTTCTTATATTCCTTCTTCAAGGATTATTTTTGTTACTAATAATAGGACTGGTAATACATTTGCTTGTTTTGATTACAATACTCTTAACTCTTTTCTTAATGCTAATCTTTATTCTTAGCATATTACTTCTTTCTGTGTATATTTTATTATTTACTTTTCTCCTACTTTATTTCTTTACTATTATCATTTTACTATAACATTAGTTATGGGCAATCCAATGTTTTCTTCACATTCCTCTTCTTTTTCTTGTGATCATCCTAAGCAATTTTTGTATTTTCTTGATCATTCTAAATATCACTATCATTGTTTTAATGGCTACTTTTTTATTTATGATAAGTCAAGGAATAATAGAAAAGTGAGAAAGATTGATTACTATCTTCTTAGACTTTTCTTATTAGATCACTTCTCATAGTTATTTTTTCATCTTAATGAATATATTATTGATCCTTAATAAAATTTATTATTGAAAGATACAAAGTATAAAATTATTCCAAGAATTATATATATTGTTACAAATACATATTCATCAAAAGGTACGCTTGTTTGTTTTTTTATTTTATATCCTTCAAGGTCTCTACACAAATTATTCCTATCTGTCAGAATTATATTATACTTTGAATTCCAGATTTCTTGTATTGCCTTCCTTGTAAATTGATCTTGAGTTCTTGTGATGATTATTCCTATTATTCCTTCCTGTTCTCTGCTTAGGGATCCTTTGAGCTCTCATACAATTTGTTGCACTATTATTTGATAGATAGTTAGTTTTATTTCTCACAAAGGTTCCTTAAGAACGTTCATGATAGGTCGT